AAAAAAATCTGGTTTTCACCCAAAGCCCTTAACTGTAATATTTAAAAAGACACATGCTGAAAATGTTGTGATTATCAAAGCAGAAGTAATGGATGTCACAGCATGGGGTACAGTACCAGTGCAAGTTATCACCACGTCCATCTGCCGAATGACCTCGCTCAGCTTGACCACTCGGAAACCGTCCATGCTGTGTGGACACGCATATTATAGAAGACCAGATTAGAAAAGAAAGAAAGAAAGAACCCACTGATAATATTCACTTGTTTGTAGCTTGCAATGCACTGGTGAGCAATGCTAAATAGTGAGAGTCGGTGAGTCACCATGCTTGCAGGGCACAGATGGGGTCGATCTCTGTGATGCACACAATGGCTCCGAGAGCTTTGAGAGCAGTGCAGCAGCCTTTCCCCACCTAAAGAGCACAAGACAGTGCACTAAAAAGATCTGCTGGACTTGTTAAAGTCATTCCATCTAAAGGTAAAAAAAAATTTAATAAAAGAATGATTCACCTCTCCATACCCACACACAACCACTTGTTTGCCTCCAAACATAATATCTGTAGTTCTCTTCAAGCTGGCAAAGACAACCAAAGCGACACATCATTATGACCATATTGCTCCAAATACAACAAAACTTCATAACAGCAACTTTCTTGGTGATTAATTTTCCTCACCCATCGAGGATAGATTCACGGCAGCAGTAAAGGTTGTCGAATTTCTGCTTGGTAACCGAGTCGTTCACGTTCATGGCGGGCACACACAGCTTGCCAGCCTTAGACAGCTGGTACAGTCTGAAAGGACACATGGGGAAAACATGTTCAGGCATATATGCTGGCCGTGAATCTTTCCACACAAACGTGGATGCAATTCTGTGCCACCTTACACTTGGCAGAATATCTGGCTAATGAAGTCCACTGAGAGCTTTGCATATACCGTAGAGTTGCTGTGCCCAGCGTTTGAGCTTTGCCATGCTTTTCAAATATTCTTCCATCATCTAAGCACAGCTGATCAGTAAAACTAACAGAAATGTATGCATTCTCCTGTCATTTTAAACCATTTGCTACACAAAAACTAACATTATGCTTGAGCACGTAAAACTCCAATAAGCAAAACTAAACAGAAAATAATTTTAAAGCAGTGCTGGTGATTTTTATTTGTCCTTACCTATGACCAAAAAATTAGTCTGTGCATAAAAAACCTGAATATGATTTATATAATGGCCTTTGATACAGGTCCAGTTTCTGCTGTCAAAGTCATTCATCATGAAATGTATTCACTGAGAGCTTAAATTGCTTCTAGTGCATCTCTATCTCCAAAAAAAAAAAAAAAATTAAGGAAATACCAATAAAAAAAAGAAAAGGGATTAAAAGCAGCTTAGTTTAAAAAAAGTAAAATGTCAGAGGGCATGACTATGTTGGATAGTTTCTAGATTTATGTTAAACTCTAAAGTAGAGTCGTGTTCAAGACATAGATACCAAACACACTCCACTAAAAGTCAAATCCATGTGTGAAAAGCACAAATTATTTGTATTTGTTGGCTGCTACGTGCTGAACAGTACATCCCAGTTATGTTCAGGTAATTAGATCCTGTAACTGCCACTG